TTTCAGTTTGAAAAACAACTAACCATGCACCAAAGTGCATGGTTAGTTGTTTTTCAAACTGAAACTGACACTGAGGTGGAACCTGGGATCACAGACATCCGTCGTGTGGATGGGTCCCTTACGAACGGTAAAAGGTGTGCAGCTAACACCCTGATTGAATACCACTTTACAGTATGCAGCTCCAAACAGGTTAATCAGACAGATGGAGGTGGTCGTCCCGCAGAAGGCCCCATATCGAGTGAGTCCATGCAACTTGTCGTTCTCTCCGACGCAGGTTTGACTAAACCTGATTGGCTTCTTAGTTAACAGGTCATCGATCCTCTACCAGATACCACAAGTCATACTGCAACAGTGTTCAGAGCCACAACTAAGCAGTCTATTTAATCAATCTGTGAGAGTAGGCATGGTCCTGGACGAGTGGAAGGCGTGTGTTCTCTCCCATATTCAAGTTATGAGATAGAATCTCGTCCAACAATTGCCATCCGATAGCCCTGCTCTCGGTGGTCTTAAAGGTAATGGAGGGTCTCATTGAAGACGAAATTAGTGAGTTTGTCGAGCGAGATCGTCATTTGCCTGAAGCACAGCACGGGTTTTGCGTGAAGAGATCCTGCCAAACCAACCTCGATGATACCATGGAATGGTACACATCAGCTGTAGATAGCGGGGTACAATTGGACGTAGTCATACTGAAAATCTCCGGGTGTTCGATAGGATTCGTCACTATCTGCTAGTAAATAAGCTGGTGAACTCAGGATTCCCCGGATCCCTGATAACATGAATTTCAGACTACTTGCGCGAAAGTATCTTTCAGGTTGGAATAAACAGACAGGTTTAGAGCGCCCAGTGGGTAATTCAGGGCTCTAATTTAGGTCCCAGACTGTTCACAACATTTGTGAACAATCTCCCACTAGACATACAATCAGATGTTCTGTTGTATACAGGCGACGTCAGGATCCACCGGGAGATTCAAAGCACACAATAAACAAGTATAAGCTGCAAAAGGACATAGACAGACTGTTCACATTATCTGTCATCAACGGTTTGCCGTTCAACTCAGCAAAAATGCAAGGTCATGCACATAGAAAGTAACCGCACCAATGAGTACTCTTTTGGAGGCACAACAATGAAGAGCGTAAGGCACGAAAAGAGCCTGGGAACATTCACTATCGATAACTGTCCCAGCAAACTAACTGTAACACCTTGACCTGTTCAAACTAAATCAAGTCAGTCGACTTCTGGGGGAAATTCACACCAGTATCATTCCTCAGGTGTTTCGCCGCACTCAGTAGTCCACACCTAGAGGTAACCATCAAGGTCTGCCCTCGGCTGCTTAGGAGAGACAAACACCATCGAGTGTGCACACAGAATAGCCACGAAACGTATACCAGGCCCGTCACACAAACCCTACTCAGACAGGCCCCGTTCCCTCAAACTGAACAGCATGGAGTATAGGATGGCAAGGGGTGATCTGATCCTCCTGATGGACATGCTCAGCATTCAGTGCATCCTAACAGGCACCGTTTCACAGTAACCAGTCAGTCGGCACTGTGTGGTCACTTCGTGAAACTGGGGAGACAGCATCACAGACTGAGAGTCTGGAGACATTGCTTTTCGGCACGGATGTGCCGCTCTTGGAATTCACTGCCGACGACAGTAGTCTAAGCAATAAATAAGCAATTGTTCAAAAATAAACTTGTCCAGCACATAATCGAACAGTACCACAGCTCTCCGTTCGACATACTGTTACCGGCAATCAGACTGACCCCAAGCTGGGCTTCTGAGCACCAACCTTTGATTGTTGCGATTTCGTTCACTGGGTTTGTCTTCAGAAGAGGAGACACGGGTATGTGAACCCCAAATCAAACTTCACTCTGCCGTCACTGATGGAACAGCCATACTCTACAAACGAAACCGGAGAACGGACAGACAGACACTCGGTACATATCACGAAGACCAACTACCCAGGTGATAGGACATCCATCCCATCCACCACTAGGTCAACCCTCATTCAAGCAAGGTAGGGGGATTTTTAAAATTAATGGCCCGAAAAAAGAAAACCCACCGACTAGACAAACATGCGAGGTACATGTTATGATTGTAGTAGTACTGTTGTGAGATACTACTCACTTGTGAGTAGTCGGTAACTTTCAATGATTAAAAATAGAACAAGACCATCAAGGACCAAGTAATATATTTGGGAAGAATAAACACTGCCTGCTATACCCATTGCCCCATGTGTCGCGATGTGCTGCGAAGGCATGTTTCTGATGAGCTTTCGTGTTATGCATGCAAAATTAGTGACCTTCAATCTGTATTCCGCAATAAAGAACTCTCCTCGACCAGCACCGCCTTTTCGGAATATAACAGTACTAGTGTTAGAATTCCGGAAGACGGTGCTGGTCGAGGATAACATTTTATTGCGGATCACAGATGGGACATCAGTAATTTGAAATACATAACACAAAAATCTAATCTGATTCCTAACGACTCTTCGGTGTACGGCTGTGGTCCCAGCGCCACCGATCATGTTCACTTGGATACGCACACCTGTCGGCATTTATCCTGAAGCATGTTTAATGGAGTCTTCTTAATCCGTATTCTACATGAAATTTGGCATCTTTGGAGTAACTTCGCTGCTCCAGGGTCACCGACATAGCCTTCGACATGGTGCTGTACGCTGCTTCCTGCACTTTCAGAGTCGCACTTGGTTTCCGTTTCACCGGCATTATTAACTCCCTCATCGCTTCGTTGTACAGTCTGGCAAAGGTTTGCTTGTCCGTCGCGTTCTCGATAGAGAAAGTTCTATTTGTGCTGTCAACTTGCGGCTCGTGTTCGGCAACTGTCTTCTCTGCCATAATCGAAGCTTCTAATGACTCATTCGACTGAAGTTCAGCCATATAAACTGCAGTGCGTGTCAGACAAACATGGCACTTTCTGATTACCCAGCTCCATAGGGGTTTAGACTGAACAATGATCATTCGTTCGGCAGGGAGCCTTGTCCGTGAACAACGGTTTGAACAGAATCAGGGGTTCTCTGAGAAACCACTTGCGCTGTGTTTCGGGGCAATTTTTCGACCGGCACTCTGGATCCTCTAGCTCAAAAGCCCCATTTTTGAGAGCTCTTTCGTTGGAATCAATTTGGATCGCTGCCACCTCTGTTAGTTTCCGTACTTCTAAAAGGCTGACGTCCACGGTCTTTAGCCGACTGGACAGGTGTGACTTTCCTCCAGATGAATTCCCTTAGAACA